CACACGACGAGACACACATGTAATGCTGTTTGAATACAAGAAGGAAAACAACGCCTATGTAGCCACAAAGAATATCAAAGAAGTTTATGGAAATGTTTTGAAAGTTCGTAAGTGTCAACGATGGTTCAGCAAATTTTGTTCAGGTGACTTTAGCCATAAAAACTGTTGAATTGATATTGATGCTCTGAAGACGCTTGTTAAGTCTTACCCAAGGAAACGCACTCATGAAATGGCCCTGAAATTGCATATCTCTCATGAAACAATACATAAACATTTAAGGAATATGGAAAAACTCCATAAAGAAAATGTTTGGCTGCTTCACGAACTTCCCAATGATCATCATTTCCAACATGTGAATGTTGCTCCGTCTCTTCTGGCTAGTAAACCATTTTTGGAAAGAATTGTCTCCAGTGATAAAAAATGGATTCTCTATGCAAATATTAAATGCCAAAAGCAATGGCTCAGTCCAAAAACCACTTTCGACCCCAGAACCTGGAGCTCCATCTGCAGAAAGTGATGCTTTGCATTTGGTGGGACATCAAAGGAGTAATCCATTTCAAACTCCACAATCTACAGCGAACTGTCAATGGAAAGATCTATAGTCAGCAACTGGAATGTTTAAATCAAGCCGTTCATTCGTTAATTGGAAAGGTATTGTTCTTCTCCACGACAATGCACGTCCACATGTGGCACGTTTGATGCAACACAAGATTGTGGAGTTGGGTTGGGAAGTTCTCCTCCACCCACCATATTCTCCAATATAGTACCATCAGATTACCATCTTTTTGTTCGCTGCAACACCATCTTAACGGGAAAACATATGCAAATATGGAAGGTGTTAAAGAGGACATCAACATGTTTTTTGCTTCAAAGCCAAGTGAATTCTTTAATCAGGGCATTAACAAGTTGATTGTAAGATGAAAAAACATCATCAATAAGAATGGAGACTATTTCATTTAATAAATGTTTTGCTTTGAGATATAAGTTGTTCAGGATTTTTTATCTAAAAAAAAGCAACATTAATTTCTTGATGACCTAATATTATGTTCATTAAAGCATTGTTTACATTTTAATTTATTTTTTATTTACATATTCATTTAAACCAACATCTTTTAACTCCAAATGCAATCTGTTATAAAATATTTTTTAATTTCCGAATTACATTAAAGTTGTAAAAAGTCTTGAAAAATTAAATCTTAAAAAATTAAATGTGAAAAAACAATTTAAAAGCTGACTCACCTGAAATATCTATAACATCGAGAAAACTTACGAATGCTATCGTCACTCACTGCTGCTGGTACTGCCACGAGGGCAGGATAGCTGGCAATCAAAAACCATAGAAGAATTTGAAGTATACAATTTTTTTTAACTTATACAGTTATAACATGATCAAACACCAAACTATATATTTGGAAAGGTGCAAGATACTCATGTAAATATATAGCTAACCATTAGCCTACATTCTTTGATGATTTGATTACCTTTGTTACTTTACCAGCACTATAATTTATTTCTCTAATTCAGTTGCTTTTGAACAAAAAATATAATGAAGTTACAATTGCATATTGATGTTTTATAGTAGAGATTATTCAGTAAATAACATGCAAGTTTCAGTTAAGTAATGGTTCTTGGTAGTAAAATAACAATCAACTATATATACATATACATTTCAAATATAAAAAAAAGCTAAGGCATATGTTAAACAATCACTAAGATTGTTTTGATCACTGAAACAGGAAGTCAAACTAACTTATATAAACAATGTTTTTCAGTTTTTCTCAACATGATACACTGTAGCTAAAAGTCTGAAGAACTGTTTACAATTTTGTATGTTGTTAGCTATCCCATCAATGCCAACAAACTACAAGCTACAAGATCCTTGATAAAGAGTTCATACCTCCTACACACGGAGTAGTTACTATTGACAGAAGTCACTCTGAAGGCTTCAGTTTTGTTCTTTGTGGCAGAACTACTGACAGTTCCTAGGCCCAATCTTTGATAATCTTTACAGTAACTACGTTCGGTAATCTTCTCCAAAGTCTTAGAGTCAACGTATGTTGCACAAGTTGGCACTTGTGGATTGTTGCTAATCGATTCCCCTTCATCAAGCACTGGAATTTGCAAAGCATAAGAAATTTTTAAAATAAGACATAAGCTACTGCAAGGCTTGAAGTTTAATTAGAGTAACAAAAAAACAACTTGATGTAACATAAAATTGCCTATTACAATCCATTTTCAAAATTCAACATTAAATGTAATTTTTTTTATACGAGTACATTTACAAACATCATCAATTCTCCATGACTAAAATAACATTTATGTACAAAAATGGATGAATGCTTTAGCCAAATTATGTGCTGGTGATTCCCCTAGCCATCAACTGCCACTTTAATTTGTTCCTACATGTATCTTGATACCTCTTCAATACGCCAGTTATTTTCACACAGCCCACTCCACTGCTTTTGTCACAAATATTAAAGATCTTTCATGTTTCTCAACACAGCAGTAAATGGTTTTCTAACAATTATCTTAGTATCTGGACTACAGATCAACATGAATTAGAGCTTATCAAAGTGTTTTCAAAATAGCTATTTAAATAGTTCATTAAATCATCATATAAACAAAGATTTCTACAAAGACATCCACCAAATAATCCATATCCAGTCATACTACCACCATTCATGTCCATTCTGAAGTATAAATTTAGGATTTTCAAAAAATTCAAAATTAAGATGACTTCAAAGATGAAAAAAAATAAAAAAAAAATTACCCATGTAAAATGAACTAGCAATTCAGAAGAAAAAAAAAAAAATATATATA